TCCTTCAAGGGAGGGGAAGCAGGGATCAGTCATGGCCTTTGCTTTTACCTTATCTGGGTCCAACAGAGCGGCTTCACTGAGTCACATTTCCAGCTCAAAGTCCAAAGACAGATACCAGCAACAAGAAGGGGGAAAAGCGGAATTATTCCAGGAATGCCAAAGAAATTCCTGTCTCCCAGATCAGGGCTCCAACTGTTTCCCCAAACTCTGTGTTCCAGGAAAGCAAGTGGTTTTTTATGGATTCTGGCCCACAGCCCAGTTCTTACACACAGGTCACGAGGGAAAACACACTGCATGTGCAGCTCAGGTCTTTGTCTCAGACTGGTTTCCTTTCATGGGGCCAGGAGGCTGCAAAGATGGAATTTAAATTCATATTCCCAGGTTGGAGGTGGAAGTTGCTTGTAATGAGACTGCAGCTATCATTCAGCAAGTCTACAGTGATGCCTGAAAGCTCACCTATGCCTCTGTGACTCGTCATGATCCTCATAATGCAAGGATAAAGAATATGAGGCAAGGGGGACACGTCCAGCTCTCCAGAGCTCTTTGAAGACCACTGCTCCTTTCCTTGCCTGCTTCCCCTTTTTCCCTGCCACCGGCCATGGGATGCCTTCCCAGCCTCCGTGAACTTCCCACTGCACCACTCCAAGGGGCTAAAAGACCCTTCTGGAGGCTTCGTTGCTGGCAGGAAGAGCTTGAAGCCACAAATGCCGGCACTTTGGGCCCTGCTTGTTGGAGCTGATGCTGTCCATTGCGGGCATGTGGCCCGGGGGCCTCCTGGAAATGGAACGTCGCCTCCAGCTGAAAGAGCCTCTGCGCCCCTCTGGAAAAGGTTCTGATGTGGCTTCTGGATTTTTCCCAATGTGGCACGTTTGAAATGTTTCAAATGTTGGGGGAAGCTCTGCTTTGGGGGCTCAAGTGGAAGCAGCCCCTTCTTCAGTGCTGCAGCCCTGCTCCTGAGACACTGCGCTCGGCAAGGAACAGTGCCCACATCTGCCATCAAGGGGGAAGGCAAAGGCGGCGCAACCCACCTGCCCTTCTCCCACTGGGAATGCACGCAAGGAGCTGCTGGAAAGGCCTCATTCGGCCTTCCCCACCGGGAGCCTTCAGGTGCATTGGACTACCACAGCCCTGGTCCACCACCGGCATGATGGGAGAGAGGCAACAGCAGGGGAGACGCCAACTGGATCCACTTCCAGAGAAGGCTTGTGAGTGGCCCCAGCCAGGATAGCTCCGCGGTACCTCCCCGCCAGCGCCACACCTTTAAGGACCCCTGGCTTGGGGGTGGGTCACTCATAGCTCTTCAGCTATTTGGGCCTGCAGCTCCCATCAGGCTGAGTCTGAGGTGAGGGATGAGGGGGCCTGCGGGCCAAAGCCTCCGGAAGGCTGCAGGTTGTTCATCTCTGAACATACCTGCCCACCTGAGGTTCCTTGCCCTGGTGGTTTCCAGGCAGGTGACCCCTTAACAGCTGAGACCTACTATGGGATGGTGGCTGAAAATGGCTTCCCTCCTGCTTTGCTCACTCCACAGGCCTGCCAAAATGTAATCCGCCACCCAGCCAGTGAACGGAAGAGCTGTACGGTCAGGGTGGCTTAAAGTATGTTTCAGAACCCAGTTAGAAGAATGACAAAGGGTCCAACAAAAGTGTATTTTTTATTCATTGTATTATGAAGTCACTTTCCTTTCTTTTTAAAATAGCAATTCCACAAAATATTAAACACTGAATGAGAAAATCGGCCTATGGCACACTGAAAAAGATCAAGGAATTACAAAAAATGAAAAAGCAGCATTAGAGAAAAGAGAGGAAAAGGTGATCAAAAGCCCACGTTACGGATACAGATTTTACCTCCCTACAACACCATCATTACACACCTTGATTTGAATTTGGCAATGATACTGGAACTTGGCAAATGAGAACTACAAACCAGAAAGAGAGAAATTCAAAGCACAGAAATATCTAACACGTGTGGGCACCGTTTCTGCTTTCTAGATTTAAAAGCATTTAAGCCTTGCTAAATTAAACTTTTCAAGTACACCTTTAAAAGAGAGTTTGGCGGAAGAAGGTGATTTTGGCATCTTTGAATGATGGATAGCAGGGAGTCTTGCCCAAGGACTGCATCTCTAGCAGGGACACCAAGGATATTGGCAATGGGTCCCACTGAGCTTCAATCCCAATGACTGGACTTGCTGATTCTGCAGCAGACCAACTTTTTCCTTGGAAGGGCAGGATGTGCAGAAATGCACACTTGTGCACTAGAGCTAATGCACACTAATACAACTGCATTAAAGTTTTGTACTTCCCCAACAGAGGAACCCTTTGATCAACAAAAGGTGGCCAAAGATCTGCAAAGTGCAGACAGAATGTGGCAACATCTTGTCTCTGGAAATTCAGGCAAAAGTGTGTGTCTTTGTGTGTTGGGGGGAGGGGGCACTCAGGAAGGAAGCTGCTTGGCCCAGCTTCTCAGAGGAGGGGATTCCCAGCTGTGCCTTGGGGACTGGGGCACCGGCCCTTTCCTTAAGACAGCAACAGAACTGCACAAAGGGAAAGCACAAAGCGAGGACAGAAGGAAGTCAGTCAGGTAGCCAGAGACCAGGAAGAGCTGGAAAGGTGCCCCCCGCCCCCCAACTCACTGACCCTCTACCCAATCTGTCCAGAAGTGGGAGAAGGCAGACCCTTGGGCATGGCGGCAGAAACACAAGTGGCAGGGCGAGGGGAGGGCAGGCTGGCGAGGGCCATGGCTCCCTCCCACAAAAGCCACGGACGGAGGGAGGGAAGAAGCAGGCAGGCCGGCCCGTCTTCCCCCTTGGGAGATGTTCTGAGAAAGAACCAGGGCACCCGCCCTCAGCAGCGATGTTCCTGCCCGGAGGCCCACGCTTGCCTCCGAGGCAGCGGCCGGGGCCAGAGGATGAAGGCAGGGCCGCTCCTGGCTGGCCCTCGGGCTTCCTTGAGGCAGAGCTGCTACCCAGGCCTCTGCGCTTTGGGCACTGCTCCCCTCAGGATTTGCGCCCAACCAGAAAGGGAGCCTGGCGGATGGCTGGGCTACGATCTCCGGCGCCCCGCAGCCAGTTTTTGGCAGGCTAATGTGGGGAATTCACGCCCTTTGCCTGGAGCACGTGGGCGGGTGGGCATGCTGGCTCCCCCAGGGCCTCTGCAGGTCAGGATGCCCCCTCCCAGAAAGCATCAGGAGCAGCTCCTGAGAGGCAGTCCTGGCTGCACTGGGGGGGATCAGCAAGCAGGCAGGGAGCCCGAAAAGGAGGCACCAAGACCGGTGGAGCAGTGAGCTCTCCCGAGAAGCCCTGTGTAAGGCGGCAGCACGCTAAGGCTGGGGCACGGGAGAGCCGAGGCCCCCTCATGGGGGAGGACCGGGCCCCCGGGCAGCCACCCCCTTCACTGCATCATGCTTGCTGGTTCTTCAAGGGAGGGGTCCTGCTTGGGCAGAAACCCAGGAAGTCTGCAGGCTCCAGCTGAGCAAGAGGCTGCGAAGCATCAAGCAGGGCTGCGTTCTGGGCCACGGGTGCCTTGTGGGGGTGCTGTGGGCAGAAAAGCAGCCTTGCGGCAGGACCGGCTACAGGGGGAAGCTGAAATTCGGGGCAGCCTCTCAACCACCAGGCCTGCTTTGAAGCTACAGCTGTTCAGAGGAGACCCGAGCCAAGCCAGGCAGAAGGGCTGCAACTTGGGGGGCTCCCTGGGGTGCCTTCTGCTGCCTGGCTGGCTGGGGTCCCTTGCTTGGCACGTCTGAGCATGGTGGCAGGGGGTGCGCTCCCAGGAGGGGGTGGGAAAAGCCTCCTCGTCTTACTGAGCTGTTGCCCGCTGGAACTTTTTTGGCATAAGAGATTCTGATTCCACACAGGCATCAAGGAGCATCTGCTGGTTTCGCCCTTTTGAGGGAGGGGCCTGCAGAGGGGACCCCCCTCCCCTCCCCTCAAAATCAAAGAAAGAACTGGATGGAAAATGGGCTCTCTTTGCCCAGGCAGATTCCAGTCTTGCCTTCCATTCCTTTCCTGGACTGGAGCCGAGTCAGAATGTTCCCTGCGCACCCCAGGCACTTTCTCCACAAGGGCAGCTGGCCGCTGTTGCCGCTAGGCTAGCTTCCCACCCAGCCTCTCAGCCACCTGGGGCCCCGAGGAGCCCAGTGGACCCCTGAGCAGCCGCGAAGCTTGTGAGGCACCCGCCAAGCCGCTCCTCCCACCGCAAGGGAGTCCGGCTGCTGGCAGAGGAGCTCAGCTACTTCTTCAGCGAGATGGACCAAGGATGCAGCCCCCTCGCCCCGGGGTGGGTGTCCACCCACTCACGGGCCTCCCATGCCAGCCTGCTTCACTCCAGCATGGGAAGAGGAATGCCACCCCGGACTGCCACTTCCCTGCTCCAGGAGGGCTTCAGGACACCTGGCGCACCTTGCAGATGACCCCGTGCCCCTCTGCGGAGCTGGGCGGCTCTGGGGATGCCTCCCCCTGGCCGATGGAAAGAAAGGGAGGAAAGTCAATGCAGGAGACGAGTGCAGCTGCACATGTCACTTTTGGGGCATCAAGGCCAGGACAGAGGAAAGCGGAGAAGCAGACTTTGGGGAGGTGATCCAGGGACAAAAGGCATACGGTGTGTCTCATGCTTCAGCTGCTGGGAAGCCCCCCCGCACTGCTTGTTAGGGGAAAGCCTCCCCCCCAAGCAAAAAGACCGCTTTTGTTACAGATCCTGCTTGGGGAGAGGAAGCCTCTAAGGGGGGAAAGAGGCATGGGGGACGATTTTCTGTGGCTTCCCGCCCGGCACCTTTGAGCCATGGCCACTCCTGCCTCAGTGCTTCCCTCTGTCCTTGGCAATGGAGATTTCGCAGAACATGGACCGAGGCACAGCTCTCTGCTCCATGTCCCGGCTCAGCTCTAAACACCCAGGCCTGATTGAAGGGAAGCAGGTGGGTCTGGGTCAAGACCAGCCTCCCTCCCTCCACCTCGACACCCCCCCCTCCACTCCGGCCCCCCAACCTGGCCACCTGCTCTGCTTCCTAGAACCGGATTTCCTTATAGATTTAGTCTTTGGGTTGCAAATGCCCCAGTGGTCACTTTGGAGGCCCACAATGGCTTGGCCTTGGTGCCCAGCCCTGATCGCTGAAAGTTGCATGGCTTCCGACTGAAGCAGGCAGTGCCCTGCCCAGGAGACTGAGGGAAGGGGTCCTGTTATAGGATGGTGCAAGGCTTCTTGTCCTTGAAGGGGTTCTCCGAGGCAGGAACACCGACCAGAAGGGGGTCATTCCGGGCGTGCTGCTCACAGTAATTCATGAGCTCGGTTGATGCTTTGGAGACCTGTGGGCAGGAGGAAGAAAGGAGACTGGGAATGGAGAGAAAGGTCAGTGGAACAAGGAGCGGGGAGAACATGACAAAAAGTCCACTTAAGGACATCTCTGCTTGGTTCTTGCAGCATTTTTAAAAATTCTGAAGCAGGCATCCTAAAAGCCCTCATTATTAAATGCCAAAACCAACTTTAGCTGGATCACAAGGAAAAGGTGAACCACAAGATGAGAAAGAGAATGCTGAACAGGGAAGCCGCATGTAAATGCAAGCCAGCTCACTTCTATTAATGGGAAGCCTGCCCTGCTGGTCGCCTCCTCTCTTCTCCTTGGCCTCAAGACGAGGCCTTTGGAATGTGGCCAGCCCCCATGGCTAACATGGGATCCAGTGGAAGCCACTGCAAAGTTGCCCCGGGCTCTGCATGGGTTTTAGTTCAAAGATCCATTCTGAGAACCAAGCCCCAGAGAGACGGCCTGAATCCAAGAGGCGAGGGTGGATGGAAGGGACAGACACACATTTTGGAAGGTTCCAAGATGGGGGTGAGCCAGAGGAGGCTCTTCTCTTGGCTCATTCAGGGCAGCCGGGGGTGTAAAGGGCCCGGGAGCCCTCAGAGGGTCCTGTTCCAAGAGGAGAGCACAGCAAGGGCCCCATGAAAATTGGAGGCGGCTGGATTTCCCTCTCTTGGGTGCTTCCAGGATTACTGGCTCCAGTTCTTCAGGAGCTCATGTGCAAAACTCGGCCCTGCCTATTCTGGATCAGACCCTCTGAGTGTGGCTGTCATCACATCTTGCAGTGAGGAACTACAGCTGAACTCTGTTCCCCAAATCAGTCCTTCCTTTCATCCTTCCATGCACAGTTTCGCACAACTGCACCCTCCAAGCCCTGGCAGTACGCGAGGGGCAGAGGATGAGTGTCTCGCCCGGCCGTTCCCCCCACCAGGCACACGTGTCTGCCGAGTCCACCCCACATGCCCCTTTTAAGCAATCCCAGCAGCCTTTCCTTGTGGCGGAGTTGCTGCATTTGTCACTGCAGGAGCACTTGAGCTTCCTCTTCCTGTTTTTAGGGGAGGGTTCCAGACAGGGACCCTGTCACCCTTGTAAGGGCATTCGGATGCTATTCCTTGGCCTAAGCTGAGAGGCTGGCCAAGGATCCCAGATGGTCCGAGCGCCCACAGGGGCTCACATCCCCTCTGGCTGCCTTTGCGCCTCTGCAAAGAGTCACGCACCCTCTCCTCCAGGATGCATTCTCCACACGTCTGCCCTAAAGCGGTACCTCTCTGAGGCTGCAGGCACCCAGGTCCCACCTGTCCAGGCACGCCTTCCCACCACCTGTCTCACTGAGCCAAGGCTCACCTTCATCCTCTCCATCCCAGCCTCAATCCGCAGCTGCTCCACCACCTTCCGGACCTGAGCGATGTTGTTAGTGGTGGACATGGTTGGCCATCAGCTCCAGGACTGGCCTGTCCCTAGAAAGCTGGGAGAGGAGAGGAGAGGAGGGGAGGGGAGGG